AAACTAAAAAGTTTCTGCACAGCAAAAGAAACTGCCTACAAAACAAAACAACAACCAACTAAATGGGATATTTGCAAATAACAGCTAGTGCAAGGGGTTAATATCCAATATATATAAGAACTCAAACTCATACAGTGCCAAACAAACAAATTAAAAAATAGGCAGAAGACCTAAACAGACACTTCTCCCAAAAAAACATACAGCCAACTAACAAATAAATGAAAAGATACTCAACTTCACTAGCTATTAGGAAAATGCAAATCAAAACTACAATGAAATACCACCTCACACCTGTTAGAATGGTTACTATCAACAAGACAAGTACTACGTGTTAGAGAGGTTATAGAGAAAAAGGAACCCTCATTCACTGCTCATGGGAATGTAAACTGGGACAGCCACCAAGGAGAACAGTATGGAGGTTCCTAAAAAATTTTTAGAATGGAGTTACCATATGACCTAGTAACCCCTCTTCTGGGTATCTATCCAAAAAATGTAGAAACATTTATTTACAAAGATATATCCACTCCCAGGTTCATTGCAGCACTATTCATGGTGACTAAGACATATAAACAACTGATGTGTCCTTTGCTAGATTAATTGGATAAAGAAGAGGCGGTACATATATACAATGTGATATTACTCAGCCATAAGAAAAGATGAAATGTTGCCATTTGTGACAACATCGATAAACCTTGAGAGCATCATGCTAAGCAAAATAAGTCAGGCAAAAAAAGTTAAAAACCATATGATTTCATTAATATGCGGGGTATTAAACTGAAAGCAACACATGAGCAAACAAGAAAAACAAAGAAAAACTCATAGACACAGACACCAGTATGGTGATAACCAGAGGAAATGGGGGTGGGCTTATAAAGTGCAAAGGAGCTCAAATCTATGGTGACAAAAGATGATGTGACTTTAGGTGGTGGGCACACAATGCAATATGCAGATCATGTGACATAAAAATTTACACTTGAAATGTAATTTTATTGACCAATGTCACCCCAACAAATTTAATAAAAAGAAATAAAGTATATAAAGTAAAATTAAAAAGAAAATACACCTTGCTTAGTGAGTCTATTCTTAAAACATTTCTCTCTCTCTATCTCTTATCTCTATCTTTATCTTTCAATCTCCATTCATTTATCCATTCATCCATTCATCGAACCTTCCTCCTTATATATAAAGTCATATAATGTAACATCCTACTGAGTCATCATTTTTTTTCTCTCATTCAACACATCAGATCTACTGGACAATACTTGCAATCTGGCCTTCAAAATATATAAAGAATATATTTACTACTGCAACCCTAGGATAGGCTAGTATCATCATCACCTTGACTTTTAAATACCTCCTAACTACTATATCTGCTTCCAAACTTTCTCCTTAAGATAAATTAAAAAAATAAATAAACTACAAAAAAAAGTGAAGAATCGATACAGGTGGAGAAAGATGTCACTAGAGTTAAGCCATTATCATCGACTTCACTTCAAAAAAATGATAATGCCTAATCTAAAGGCTATTTAAAACTTTTTAAAGTATATTTACCAAAAAAAAACCTTGGTTGACATATGAAATAATGAAATAATAGCTGTTTAAGACTTTATGCAAACAGAAAACACATAAGTCTGTTCCTAGACATGGATCATAACAAAATGGTATTCTACTTTCCTAAAAAAATAAATGATCAATCAGGTGAAATGGACATGTATCATTTAAATAGATCTTTGCACTCAGGTTATGCCTGAAATGCAAAAATCTAATCAATTATATATATATATATATATATATATATATATATATATATATATATTAGCTATAATGAACATTAGCATGAAATCTAGTAGGAAAAACTTTTATCTTTTATTTTTATAAAAGATGAATATTATGAGTGACTACTGACTGAAATCAGATTTCAGGTATTCATTGTGATTAAATATTCATAACATCCTAAATTCTTACCATATATTTGCCATTTGTAATTTTTAACCACCTTTTGAAAAGATTACAGCACTTATGCTGAATTGTAGCAAATTGGGAAGTTGTTTAATGGTTTGGAAAAGTCCCACAGCTGACTGAATCGAGAATAACACACTCATTATTATTTATGACTCTATTTCCAGGTCTTCCTAGGTCAGCTTATTGAATTCACTGAATATGCTACTTTTCCAGTTCGGCAAAGCCAATTTTGCAGGCTACTTTGTCGTAGACATTTTCATAGAAATGGAAGAAAGCCAATTTTGTAAATATAAACACATCTAGAACACCTATAATTTAGGATAATTTACTCTAAATGAACATCCATTGTTTAAAACCTTGACAATCGAGAATTCCAAAACTTTAAAAACTGGAACCACCCAGAACAGTGTTTCCCTAGTGTGTTCTGTAGGTAATTCTTTCCATGAGATTTTAATAGCCATTGCTTAACATAAGGGCTCTTCAGAAAATCCAGGGATTTCACAAGTTCAAATTAAGTGAGTCTCTTTATTAGGAGATTTGATACTGTTGTAATTAACCTAGTTATTAATAACAGGGAAGTACCAAAGGGAAGGACAAATATTATAGGCATGTTATTTGGACAGCTTTGTCAGGCAGCTACAACTTTACACTCCCCAGGGATCCAGCAAAGGGAAGATAAATGCATGCCTAATAAAGTTGGAGTGACATAGGGAAGGTACTTTTCTGTCAGTCACACTTGGAAATAGGTCATTGGCCAGAATGGGTGTGGCCACTGCAAGGCTGAAAAATCTGGGATATTTGATCTCTTACATAAAGGAATTTGCTCTCATGCTTTTGTTGCTTTCGGTGTGTTGTGCCTAACTCCTGACTTGTGGGCTCTCTCACTCCTGCTTCCTGGCATTCTCCCAAATGGCCCACAGCCATGTGAACTTCACACAAAATGGATTAATGGATGCTGAACTGGACCAGGCTGCAACATGGTACTGGAACTCTGGACATTGGCTTTGCTTTTCGCTTTACTGAAACACCAGCTACACTTCTATGACTGGAATGGGACTTTGGAAACCCAGGGCTGTGATTCCACACTAATAAAAATCACTCATCCTCCCGTGTGAGTCTCAGAAAACTGTTTTTCTTGAGATATCATAAGGATCCCACCCCCAGCCTCCATTAGGGAAGAGGGTACTCTAATTTCTCCAATAACAATTTGAGAGACTTTATCTTGACAATCTGCCCTCTGAAATTTCAAAAGGTGGATATAAAAAATGAGTTTATAAACGTATTTTTACATGAAAGAGTTTTGTGATGAATACCTATACATAATATCTGTCCAGGGACTTAGGATTGGGGAATGTTAATCTAGAGCACATCATTGAAAGTATTTCAGAGACGAAATATAGATATAAGAAGGCTTAATAATACAAACCACACCATGTTGTAGTAATGAACAATTTTAGCATCAACATTTGTCACTTTATCCTGTGGAAAATATGGAATGTTTGAGCTTTAAAGTTCATAAATTTAATTCTTATACATATGTTTAATGTGTATTTAATGTACACATGTATTGAATAATATAACTCTAGACTGCCTGAGTTGTTTAAAAAAATAAATAAGTAAACCAGGGAATTGTTAAGGATTTAAATTTTGCAGAAATACCTAAATAGGAATATATAACTTTAGGAACACCATTGTATTAAAACACAGGTGGAAATAAAAATATATTAAACAGTAATCAAAGGGGAGGAGTCTGGGGGGGGGCATGAATAAAAAAAAGGTAAAGTGATTAAGCAATAAAACCCAAACTCATAGACACAGACAACAGTATGGTGATTACAAGAGGAAAATAGGGGTGGGGGGAAGTAGAAGAGGGGAAAAATAGTGATGGAAAGAGACTTGACTTTGGGTTGTGAACACCCAATATACAGATGATATATTTTAGAAATGTACACTTGAAGCCTATATAATTTTGACAAATGTCACCCCAATACATTCAAATAAAATTTAAAAATAATTTAAAGTCTCCTTAAGATAGTCTAGCAAACTATTTTATGTGAAATAAAATTTAATTATTTCTATTCAATAACATTAATTATTTTAGGAGGAGGAGAGTTTGCCATCCCAAAAGATATCTCTTTAGGGTAGTGATTATTTTAAACTGGTCATTGTTAAGAAACAAAAGACTCAGGATAAACCTTAGACCTTCCTCCTGCCTCAAAGGAATTTAGGTGAAGGACCTGCTCCATGAAGGGAGAGATCACAAGTACTAGAGTTTAAAATGAAATAGTGTGTGATAGAGAGAGAAAGAAATCTAGCAAGGCTTCTTTGATCAAAGTCCTCTCTGTGTCTCATTGTTAAAGATGGTCGGCAAACATTTACTCACTAAACATTAGCTTTTCTATTTCTGTGTGAATTGACTTCCTGCTCTTTAAAGTCCCAAACCACAACCTCCCTTCTCCTTAGCTCAAGATGGCCTATAAGACTTAACCACCTATTTGGTCCTGCGTCTCGCATTCTTATGGAACCCCCGTGTGTACATACATATTAAACTTGGTTATTTTTCTCCTGCTAATATGTCTCATGTAAATTTGATTATTAGTCCAGCCAGAAAAACTTATAAAGGTAGGAGCAAAAGGTATTTTCCCATCCCTACACTTAAAATATAGATTTACTAGTCATGAATGCCATAGTATAATACACAAGTATTTTTAAATAAATCATAAAAATATTACCTTTTCATTTATCCTCTTCCATTTTTTACTTTCTGCTGTCATTAATAAACTCTCATACACTCAAAATCCTGATTTTTTTTTTTAAAGTTAGTTATTGTAACCTCTTATCACACCATGACTGTAAGAAAACATATATGTAGCCATGTCAAAGAAACTACACAATGAAAGAATTCAATGATAGAATATCACTTATATAATTTTTATTTTTAAATTTATTTTCAACATGGTATTTTTAAAAATGTTCTTTAGAAGAAAAATATTTTGATTTAAAATTGATAATTAAATTTGGTTCTTTAAAAATCAATTTATCCCATCTCCGCGCGGCAGCCGGCCCTGCGGCCGCACGTGCACAAGCAGCCGGAGAAGACGACCCGCGTGCGGACGGTGCTCAACGAGAAGCAGCTGCACACGCTGCGGACCTGCTACGCCGCCAACCCGCGGCCCGACGCGCTCATGAAGGAGCAGCTGGTGGAGATGACCGGCCTGAGCCCGCGCGTGATCCGGGTCTGGTTCCAGAACAAGCGCTGCAAGGACAAGAAGCGCAGCATCATGATGAAGCAGCTGCAGCAGCAGCAGCCCAATGACAAGACCAACATCCAGGGGATGACAGGAACTCCCATGGTGGCCGCCAGTCCCGAGAGGCACGACGGTGGCTTGCAGGCCAACCCCGTGGAGGTGCAGAGTTACCAGCCACCGTGGAAAGTACTGAGCGACTTCGCTTTGCAGAGTGACATAGATCAGCCTGCTTTTCAGCAACTGGTCAATTTCTCCGAGGGAGGACCGGGCTCGAACTCCACCGGCAGCGAAGTGGCCTCCATGTCCTCGCAGCTCCCGGACACCCCCAACAGCATGGTGGCCAGCCCCATCGAGGCCTGAGAACACTCACGCAGATGCATTTTTTTCCCTGTTGGAGACAGTGGGCGCCCATCCCGTTGAACTCCGAAACACGAGTATTTAACGACCCAGTCCATGGAAACTGAATTGAGGAAATGAATGCTCCATGAAATGCACGAAGTCTGTTTTAATGACAAGGTAATATGGTAGCAACACTGTGAAGACAATCATGGGATTTTACTAGAATGAAAACAAACAACAAAGCAAAACCCGAACCCAACACTCACTATCCAGTGACCTTAGGAGGACTGAGGAAAAAAAAAAAGACGTTTTTAAAACGTAGAGGATTTATATTCAAGGATCTCAAAAAAAAAAAAAAAAAAAGCGCGCTTTCATTTCACTGCCCATCTAGAGAGAAGCAGATGTAGCGATGTTTCTAGTCCGCCCGGCTCTGAATGGTGCTGTTTCTATGTTGGTCCCCGGCTTTGCCAAACAGGAGCCGCAGGCGGAGCGGCTGAAAGGCCCTTTCAGGAGAGGGCGCTGGTCCGCGAGGTTTCCAGTTGACTTAACAAGGGGTTAATTGAAAGCCTGGGTTTCTTAGCATGTCCCTTTATTTTTTTTCCTTTGGCCCCTTCTCCCCCGCCTCCTCTTTTTTTGAGATCCATCCTCTATCAAGAAGTCTGAAGCGACTTTAAAGGTTTTTGAATCCAGATTTAAAAACCGACTTATAAAGCATTGCAACAAGGTTACCTCTATTTTGCCACAAGCGTCTCGGGATTGTGTTTGACTCTCCTGTCTGTCCAAGAACTTTCCCCCCAAAGATGTGTATAGTTATCGGTTAAAATGACTGTTTCTCTCTCTCTCTCTCTCTCTCTCTCTCTCTCTCTCTCTCTCTCTCTCTCTCTCTCTCTCGAAATAAAGAGGAAAAGAAAAAGGAAACTTTTTTTTGTTTGCTCTTGCATTGCAAAAGAATTATAAAGTAATTTATTATTTATTGTCGGAAGACTTGCCACTTTTCATGTCATTTGACATTATTTTTTTGTTTGCTGAAGTAAAAAAAAGAAAGAAGACAAAGGTTGTACCATGGTCTTTGAATTATATGTCGACTTCTATGTGTTTTGTCATTTTTTTTTCCTTAAATATGTGAAAATCAAAGCGCCATATGTAGGATTATATCTTCAGGACTATTTCACTAATAAACGTTTGGCATAGATAAATTAAAAAAAAAAAAAAAAAAAAAATTTATCGCCGAAACCGGTTTGGCTCAGTGGATGGAGCGTTGGCCTGCGGACTGAAGGGTCCCGGGTTCGATTCCGGTCAGGGGCATGTACCTGTGTTGCGGGCACATCCCCAGTAGGTGTGCAGGAGGCAGCTGATCGATGTTTCTCTCTCATCGATGTTTCTAGCTCTCTATCTCTCTCCCTTCCTCTCTGTAAAAAATCAATAAAAATATATTAAAAAAAAATCAATTTATCAAATTATTATTCCATGCCAAAGAAAAATACATTTTCTTTAGTGAAAAGGAAGGGATACTTAGAAGTATTCTTGAGATATTTTAAAGTATCACAGTATCACTTTTAGATTAGAGTTCTATAATTCATTTAGAGTCAAAGAAAAAAGAGCAGGGGTAATAATAATAATAATATGAAAACTAATAGGGTTTTGATCATCTAAATGCAAATACCTTTTGAAAAAGTTAATATTTTGCAATACTATTCTATTTAACCCCTTTTCTACAATACCTGACTTTGGGTAAATTAAGTCTCCATTTACTTATGTGTAAACTAAGTATCCATAATACAAAAATAGGTATGTAATGAAACATTTGATGAGATAAGATGCATAAAGAACTGAGCACTATATCACCATATTTTACTGATAGTAAATCATAAAATAGGCATTATGATTATTGGAAATGTTAACAGACATACATAGATATTGAAGTATGGTAACAACCATCTATAGTTTAACCCTGCTGTTTGGCTTATGTACCTATTTGCTTTGTTTAACAATGGACAGGTTATTTTGATTTTCTGAATTATATAAATCATCCCATTCGATTAAATGCCTTATTAATTGTAATGTGAATATCCCATGGGTTGGGGTCATACTGGTCTTAGAGAGCACATTCTTCTGTACCTGGGAAACAGGACAGCTCAATTATCCTAAATTGTTTTAATGGCCACAGATAATGCGTTCCAGCTGACTCAGTGGTCCCGAGACCAGGACAGCGCAATTACTCTAAATTGCCTCGATGGCTCTAGATCAGCCCTGGGCAAACTATGGCCCACGGGCCGGGACCAGCCCGTTTGAAATTAATAAAATTAAAAAAAAAAAAAAAGACTGTACCCTTTTATGTAATGATGTTTACTTTGAATTTATATTATTTCCCAGAAACACTCCATCCATGCTTTTGTTCTGGCCCTCTGGTCCAGTTTAAGAACCCACTGTGGCCCTTGAGTCAAAAAGTTTGCCCATCCCTGCTCTAGATAATGAATTCGTGACAACTCAGTGGTCTCGAGACCCGAGGGCTCTAGATAATGTGTTTCTATCAACTCAGCGATCCGGAGACCCAAAACTGTAATTTAGATAACATGCCTAAGTTTAACCCAGGTTACCCAAGGGCTCTAGATAATGTGTTTATAACATGCTGTTTCTGCTTCTGTAAACTGCTTTTTTGCAAACTAGGTTCCTCATTCCAGGCCTGAGGGCTCTAGATAATGTATTTCTGTCAATTCAGTGACCCCGAGACCCAAAACTATAATTAACATGCTTAATTCTGCTTCTGTAATCTGCTTTTTGCGAGCCAGGTTCCTCATTCCAAACCCTGGGATGTAATCAATACCTTTGTGATGCCGAAACCGGTTTGGCTCGGTGGATAGAGCGTCGGCCTGCGGACTGAAAGGTCCCAGGTTCGATTCCGGTCAAGGGCATGTACCTTGGTTTCGGGCACATGTCCAGTGGGGAGTGTGCAGGAGGCAGCTGGTCGATGTTTCTCTCTCATCGATGTTTCTAACTCTCTATCTCTCTCCTTTCCTCTCCGTAAAAACTCAATAAAATATATTTAAAAAAAAAAAAGTATTCATTTAGAAAAAAAAAAAAAAAAAAAAAAAAAAAAAAATACCTTTGTGATTTTTTGCCTATATAACCTTGGAGCTGCAACCATCTTGTTACTATGAGATTTGGGGACTGGCCCCTCATAGTCCTGGATTGCAATAAATGTGACTCTTTAATTCGATTTCTTGAGGCATCCTTCTGTGATTTGTGGGGTGCATTACAACAATATATACTGTAAAAGTACAATTTTAACATGGTGATATAAAGGTGTAAATATCAATTTTCATTAATAATGCAATAAAATACATTTAAAGATAGTAATTATGAAGAGAAATATAGATGTAGCTACATATTTATTAAGATGATGGTTATAATGAACATTGAGTCAATACATAACATGTATGTGATTATGAATCTCAAGAAAAATTTTATAGGTAACTAATATTGCTCATTTGTTCAGAAAAAAGAACTAATTTTAATAAAATTAGGCTTTGTGGTTTAAATTATCTAGATTCCTACTTGAGATATAACCTGAAAAACTGAGCTTCTCAGCATCTGTGTTATCACTTCTGCTGTGGGTGTCATAATGACAGTTTATACTTCAACATGGGATAAATGCCCAGACATGAGTCAAAAGATACATTTATTTTGCATGAAAGCTTATTATCAGTGGTGGGGGAAAAATTGTTTGAGTTTGGCTTCCAAAATTTAATTTTACATGTATCAGTGAATTTTTCACTTAAAAATATTACCTAAAATAGTTTGCTTCAATTCTCAGAATCTCAATTTCTACCTGCAAAACATTATGGCAATTATGGAAAAACAAATTCTATGCTGATCACAATTGACCTGATAATGAAGCAAATAGTGGGTAGGAAATGACTTCAAATTAACAAAGGTAAAAATATTCACACTGTTATCTCATATATCATGAGAAAAGTAATGTATCCACTTAATAAATTATACTTGATGAAATCAATGACAGAATAGTGTTGTGCCCAGATTTCATGATTCCCAAGAACCCACAGGGAGCCAGCAAGTCTGATGCAAAAGCAAAGAGTCATTCATTTCAAACCTAGGTTTGGCTCCCCTGCCACACTCACCGATGCAACGGTAAGCTCCAGTGGCCGAGAGAGAAAAAACTCTGTGTGGAGAGAGGTTTTATAGGGGTTTGGGGTAAGGGGAGGAGAAAGGACTGTGGGCCCTGCCGATTGGCCAGGCGGGAGTACACAGGATGTGGTCATAGTGATGGCGTGCACTTCCCTTGACTATCTTCCGGGAAGAAGCTTGCTGAGCACATGGCCAAGTTAAGATGAAGGGCATAGCCCTTACCCTGGGGCAAGGTGGAGGGCGTAGCCCTTACCCTGGGGCAAGGTGGAGGGCGTAGTCCTCGCCCTTTCAATAGCAAAAGTTTGTTATAATAGCAAAATCTGAAGTTTTTTTCATTAACTTAAAACTGATCATATAGAAAGTAAATTTCTTTCAATTCATCAGGAGTATTGAATGGAAAAGCTTGATGTATATGTGGGAAATAGTAAATTGGTATGTGCGCCATTTTCTTTGCAGTTACAGTATGAAACAGCACAGGACTCAGCACCAATAAGATTATTCTAGAAAAATTTTTCTTCCTATTTTGAAAAAAATGCTCCAATAAATTTTGAATGTTTATGGAAAATAATAAACAAGTATTTATAATTTTTTGCATTAGCAGTGTACCATTTGTTACTTATTAAATATTATTAAATTAACAACTTTATGAATTGGGGTGACCTATAACTTTTTTCCATTATATTTGAATGGGAAAGAGTGTATGTGCCTGATTCTCTGAATAGCTCTTCTCTAGGGGGTATTTGTTTTCCATTTTCTGATTCATTAATATAATTGTGAATTGATTTGACTGATAATACTGTTTGATTTGACTGATAATCTTGGTAATTAAAATCTCAGTAGTTGTTGTTTCAATACATGTGTGATAAAATTCAATTCACTTAAGGTTCCTTCACATAGTTCATAGTTTGTTTCTTTGCCTCTTAGGAACGTTTTAAATTATAGAAGTTAAGAAAATCATTTTAAAGCTTATTTTTTAAGTTGTAACATTTTTGGCCATTTAAAAGTTGTGAAAGATAATTTTGAAAAAAAAAAATGACTACAATGGAAGAGATCTATATTTCACTAAAATCAATTTATAATTGAGCAAAAAGAGACTTATTTATTTTTTATTGTTGTTTGTTTTTCTTATTATATTTTGAATAAATGAAAGGATTATGAGAAGTTTGAGACAACATGATTGTTTTTTACATAGGGAGGTGTACATTTCTTAATTCTCT